ACTTGTGGAGTATTCGAATACTACTCGTGGAGTATTCGAATACTTCATGCAGAAACAACATGTAATGAGTTAAAATGAGTAAGAAAGACTTAATCACTTAATGGAATCTGAGCTATGATTATTGATGATTAATTATGGTATGGGCAGATTGTGATTGTGCTGTTTGTGGGCCTTCAGCTTGTGTGAACTCTTGGCATTGGATAGTTAGCTTGCAAGGTAAGCTTTTGTGTCCTCGGTTTAGCCATGTTGTAGTTCCACCATGTCCCATGGGGGTGTGGTTATATGCATGCTGTGTTACATGCTTTGAATATTTGAAACACTGTTGAGCTTTATGTGTAATGGCTTTTAATATGCATGTGTTGTTTCATCTTGACGGTAAGCCTGAGTATGTGGCGTCATTCGATATGGTGATCCGGGGTGAATGCAAGTGGCGTCTTGCACTATGTGTGGGTATTTGGCGTATATAAATCCTGCATTTCTCTGGCCAGTAGAATAGAATTGACACACATGACATGATTATCTGCTGCATTGCACTATTTTAGAACTGATGATGATAAACTGCTTTTGAACTTATATTGCACATGTAAGTGAGCTTGGGGTGGAAGATCCTTGAGGACCCCTTGTCTTACTGAGATTTCTTGTTTAGAGATCTCACCCCACGTTTGGGGAATGCTTATTTCAAGATCAGGTAGTATGGGGACGAATGCCTCATGCGGCAGGATGCCGAAGCTTAGTTGATTTATGTTATTACTGCTTTATGCTAGCATGACTGTATTAGATGTTGTTTATGTTGAGACTGATGTTGGGCTTTGTTGCCTTATTTGGGTGAGCATGAGAATTGCCCATCACACTTTGTTGTTAGTACTTTGAGTTGAGTTGTATAAACTGTTAGATGGTCCGGTCTACGTTGTTGTAGTTCCGTGACTAGAGCCATACTTATCTTATTTTTGATATGAGGTATTTCAGATAGCTGTTTTATTGCAATTACATACAGGCGATGTTTTATTAATTGAATAATAAGCAAGTTGGTAATGTTAATGACATCATAATTGAAAAGAAAAAGTAATTCCGCATTTTTAATTAAGCGCAGCTTAATACGATATTATGATAACATTACCGGATATATACGGGGTGTTACAATTACCAACCAATGTGTGACTCATCACACTTGAATATCCCAACAGTTTCAACATTTTTAGTCTTGTGTTTGATAACAGTGGATGTGTATGAATTGAGGTCGTTTAATTTTTTTTCCTTTTAAATTTTTTTTCACATAATTACTTATGTTATCTCTTTGTTATTTTCTTTATGGGAAAAACTAATATTATGTAACATGATATAAAAAGTTTTATCTACTCACCCATTGGATTTCGCACCAGCATTTTTTATTTTTTGTTTTTATTATATGTATGGGACCCACATGCATTTTTGTTTGAGCAGGAAAAATTGTTTAGATTATGTTACATGATGGTAGCTTTATCCTTTCTTTATTCATTAAAATTAGTATTGATTTATTTAAAAAATTTATATAACTCAATTTATCTCCCAGGTTCATCCAGACCAACACTTTATTTAAATTTAGTTAATTTCACATGATGATGATAACTTATCATTTGAGGATCGGATTAATTTATGCAATTTATGTTGCAATTACAAAATTTATATATATATATATATATATATATATATATATTTTTCCAAAAAGAAGTTACTGAAAGATGTATATTGTCATAAGATAATTGTTGGCCTTGCTAAAGAGTATACAAGAAATGCGCAAGTATACGCAGCCACAAGTAATATATGGTCCTTAAGTCCCAGTTATCGTTCCCACAAGGATCTTTTGGCGAAAAGTACAAAAGCGAAATAGCAATTGCTTAGAATTGAATTTCTAAAAAAAAAACTAAAGATTAAATTTCACTTGAAGTTTTTCTGATTTAAAATTGAAATCACTTGCTTAATACACAAAAGAAAAAGTATAAAATAAATTGAAAAATTATTTTTGGGATTTTCTATTTGATTATATTTTCACAGAATTACTAAAAGTTTAAATGAATACAGAAAAATCAGAATTGAAAAAGTTTTAAGAACTTTAATCAGAAAAATGGGTTGGACTTTGGTTCCCCCCTTCCCACAACACTTAAGTGGATAAATTTCTTAACCAAAATGTTCAACAGCTATTTTCAGTTAACTGACTTAATGATTAACCTTTAATTCCTTAAAAGTTATTTTGCCCAAAATCAGTCACAAGCATATCCCTATGCATATGGGACCTGGGTTCTTGAAGAACAGAGTCGTAGTTACATGGTGGATTAACTCACGTCTAAATTGAACCCCTTGAATGATTCCTCGTTAAAGTCCATGCGTTCAAACCATGGTCAGAAAAGAGTTGTTTCCCAACAACTCATTTCTAAGTAAGCTCCTACACTCGGCCGATATGCAGAAATTCTTCAACAACAAAAACAGATTTAAACGACTAAAATTAACATTAACAGTGCAAGTAAAGAAAAATATCCACAGAGCATTGATGGTTGGGGATCACCTAGACCCAACCTCTACTGTTTAGCTCATATCCAAAAGGATTGAGCTCAATACAGAAATAAAAATGAAAATACAAAGAACATAAAATGCAGAAATCTAAAAAACTACAGTACGAGTACTATTCACAGAAATAGCCTCGTCATTGTGCTCATCTTCACAAAACAAAAATAACCACTATTACAGTACCAAAAGCTCAAAATAAAACTTGTAAGAAAATGGGGAAGAGAGATTACAGAAGAAGCCCCCTTGAATGAGCTATTCCTTCTCTTTTATATCTCCTCCTTCGCATGCATGGGCTTTGGGTCGCTTCACCAATAGCCTCTACACGCGCTCCTTCCACACGAGCCACACGAGCACTCCTTGCGCGTTCTTTTCTTGCTCCACGCTCACACCAAGCGCTCCACCAAAGAAAATCCCACTACTCGATTGTAACAACCTCCAGGTCACTATTCAGTTAGGGTCAGTGTTTGCTTTTTAGGGGACAATGGTTAGAATCAAACTTTTTTAGATAAATGGTCAAGTGAATCACTACAAGGAAAGGCTTTTGTGGTTAGATGGCTAACAAGAATCAAGCTGAAAGGTCGATTGAAACGGCTTTGTGGTTGGAATGAGATAGGTGGTTCGAACGATGGGGGGGGTTAGGATTCGCTAGCTCAAGATTGTTTTTCCCAAATGTGATTCACGCTCTACACATCCTCTTTCTTCTAATTTTTCTCTGTCTCTCAATTGGGGCTTTATGATTTGAACTCCAAAGCCTATTTCTTTTTATTTTATTTTTTGCTATGGTAGACCATTTCTTTCATTTATCTTTTTGGACCTGAAATATCAAAAACAGCCCATTAACTTTTTACTCCACATAATTTCAACTAAATGTAATTGAGGTTAGTATTATACAAAAGATATTCTTTTCACCACATTTTCATATCAACAACCATATGTTTCAAGTCACATTTCATGGACTTATCAATAATATTAGATTAACTTATAAAAAGTTATTTTCCTTTTTCCCCCCTGATCTTTAGGGTTCATCATAATGGTTAATAACTCTCTATATGTACATCTACGTATATTAATAAAATTGTCTTGAGAAGTATTAATGGAATTCTTAACTATGAATAATTATTTGGGCAAAAATTATTTTGAAGAAAAATTGATGAGATTATATATCATCAAATATTAACTAGGAAATACAAAACTCCTTATAAAAGCTTTTAAGGTAGTGTTTGGTTCGGGAGAAATTTTTTTTTACTAGGGAAATGTAATTGATAGGAAAATGGAAGGAAAGTAAGTTTGGTAGGAAAGTTTAAAAAAAGTTGTTTGGTTGAGTAAAATTTTACCAGGAAAATTAAGTGAAATAACAGAATGAAGTGTTTGGTTCAATATTTTATATTGATGGGAAAGTAACGGAAATTACAAAACTATCCTTTTTTAAAATTTCCCTTTATACCAACGATTGTCCAAACGGTAATATCCCAATCTGATTGATACTAATGGGTTGGATGTTAGTAGCTGCTGAAAACTTAAATCAAATGCACTAATTGACAGGGAGAAACTTATTTCATATATATATTGATGAAATTCGCAGCATGATTGAGTATATAGGTAAGCATGATTGAGTAAATATAACATGATTTGGTGTAGTTATTTTAAGGCAGTTTAATTTCCCTACAAACTTACAATGCCCTCTAGGATCTGAATAAGGTTTCCCTTGATATAATAATAACTTGCTGTTTGAATCTATTGGAATGTCACCAAATTTGCAGTTTAACATATCACCAAATGTTTCTCGTTCATTAAAAAAAAATTAAAAAATGCTCTCGTCACTCTTTTTCAACTCACCTGCAGCCATTGGGTTACTTCATTTGAGCATAAGAATAGAGTTGAAAAAAACAACAATTAATAGTGTAAGACAGATAACATGGAAGAAAGATAAATATTATCTGATATTAACTATATGTCTCTCTTTAATACAGATGTAAGTGTACATTTATCAAACACTGCCATCAAAAGTGTAAATAATTGACGACCCTTGAATACTATAAAAAAAGGTCCTATTCTGAGTACCCTCTTAATTATGAGCATATCACAAATGTGAAGGAAAACTCCTCAGATTACAGACCAGCAAGGCACTGCAATTAACAGACTTTAAAATGAAGCAACAAAACAAGGAAATGACGAATTACAGACTCTATACTTTACTGCTATTATCACTCTCATACTCCAACCACCATCTACAACACAAACCCGTTTCTTGGACAATCTGAGCATCTTTTCGGCCTGTCTCACTACGCACCTCATCATCATGTCTCTGAGCCATGCTTGGCTGTTGGGCTGCACCTATTTTAAACCTCTTCCTTGTATATTTTTGTGGGAAAGGCTCCAATGGTCCATCATGAACTCACGAGAAGCTTAGCTAACTTTCTGCTTGGCCATGTCCATATGTTCTTCTAAGTCAAATTTAGCATACAAATCCTTCAATTGCAATCATAACTGTAGTTTGTCGAACAAGAATCTCCAATGTCATAACGAACTTTAGAAAGCAAGCTAAAATGAACACCACCAACCTGATTTATCAAAAATATATGCTCTGTATTATTTTGAAACTTATAAGCAACTGATAACATAACCAAGGCCATACAATTATTACAATATTAAAAAAGGAAAAAGAAAATACCACAGCAACTGGAATATCCAATAAAGACCGCAGTTTTGCATGTAAGGCATATGTACCATTACAATATATGCTCTTTTGCTGATAGTCAAACTCTGGGATTAATGTATCATTGCCTTTTGTCAAATCCTAATTGCAACAGATAAGCCTTTTAACAAAGCATAAAATAAAACTTTGCACAAAACTAGAATGAAGACTCATTTGCATTTCTTACTAAATCCATAAGCTAGTCCCAGACAGTATATTTTAAATTGACACATAATCTAACCAGATTCAGTCACAAAGAAAACAAGCAGATAATCACTTAACCAACAGTTTAACACGACAAATCAGCAGCAACTAATGCCTTTCTATTCTTATTCTTCTTTATCTTTTTACTTTTTCTCTTTTGATAATGTTATTGCTGGTCAGAACCAGATTCCAGAGACTACATTTTGTCGATATAACAATATATAAAGCATGAAACGGCCAAATAAATGATAGTAAAATTTAAGGGGATAGTAAAGATCAGCCTTGAAAACCATCAAGGCCATATATACGGCCAAACAGTACTTATTTTGGTTTTCCTTGTGTTAATTTTTACATAAATACTGTCAAGGATCTGTCAGAAACCGGATTAAAAATTACAAAGAACAACTTATACCTCCTCATGTGCATTGTGGCAGTCATATTCACATGCAGAATCACAACTTGGCAAAGGTGTTTGGCCACTGTTAAAATTATAGTTTGCAAGAATGAACTACTCTTAAACATACGACCATGACTCCAACAGCTATGTATATTCTTACCGAAATATTGTGAAGAAAACTGGCCAAAATAAGAGGATCCCTTGACTCTACCTAGGGCGCTGGTATTGATCCAAGCAGCTTGTCCGTCGCGGTAGATCCGGTTCACGGGAGTCTTCTTTAACTAGCTATGAAAGAGGAAAATGCTACGAAAGAAAAGAAAAATTAAACGCAAGTACAAAATGAAACTAGACACTTTTGGTTGATTCCAAAACAGACAGATGATTACCTCAAAATCGAACACAGCCATCTGGGTTTCGTTAGTCATGGTGAGGTTTCGTTTCAGAACAGCACGAAGAAGATTGTGAATGATGAAATATGGCACGCGATGAGATATAGCTTCGGTCCACAAATCGAAGTCACACAGCAATTCGGATTTTTTGGTATATGTGGCTGAGAAGAGGGGTAAATAAGTCACATTTTTCATCCCCAAAACGAGTTGTCCGGTATTCTCAACAATTCCACCATCCAAAAGGGCTTCTTCAACAGTGCAAATATCCAATTTTTACACACGGATGTCGATTGCTAGGGAAGCTACTTTGATGGACAAATTTCAGCTTCTCCCTCAACCAAACGTGGACATATGAGATACCCACATACACTTTGCTAAAAAAATCTCCTGATGCCCCGAACCAAACACTATATTAGAATAAGCTCCTTTTACTTGCCGATGTCTTGCTTGATGGAGTGATGAGGAAAAACTGTACAGTGTATACGAATGAAAATTAATAAAAACAAAAATAAAAAAGCGTGTGGTTTCAACCGCATTCCATCACAGTGAAAATAAAAATAAAGAATAAGAAAAAGTGTACAGACTAGACTGCCTAGAGAGTACACAAAGAGAGTTAGGAGTTGAACATCTGTCCATTGTGTACTCTCTTTCTGTGTAATCTTACAGACACAGTAAAATCTGAAATCACATAGAAAGCAAAAGAAGAAGAAATAGTGAAGCTTTCTGTCGCTGTCTCTGTCCATTGTGTACTCCTTTTCTTTGCTCCTACTCATTCCCCACACACACTCTCCACAGTTCTGCATCATATCATTCAGCAACTGATCATTCCTTGTGATCTCATTCATCTTTCATGGGACTGAACTCTCTCACCATGTGATGTTCACTTGCTACTGATTTGATGATTCTTTTCTATCCACTTACTACTTCATGTCACCTACTGGTGCATGTCCATGACAAAAACCATACTCTACATACTGAAGCTACTTTCTTTCTTTCTTTCTTTCATTTGGCCTGCACTACAGATGAACATGAACTCTTTTCCTGGGATGACATTCTGCTTCTGAGGCCATGTCCCATGTTTCATGTTGTTATTAACTAGGTTTGGTCTTTTCTACATTTGCATTTATTTGTTTCTTTTCTCCTAGATTGGTTTTATTACTCTAATGGGTCCTTAAGTTTAGCTTGTGATAATGATGATTAATGAAGGTGCTCTTGCTCTGTCTATTTAATTCATTAATTATAGATAGTAGCCTCTGTCACTTGTTCTTTTGTTGGTATCAAGCCTTGCAATTGTTTATATTTGCATTGAGAAGAGGAAAAAAGGGTTTTTTTAATGAATTATAGGTTTAAATCTTTGGTTTTCAAATCAATTGAGATTGAAAATTTTATAACTTGAATGTTTACTTTTCCCTTTCCAATCTCTCAATAGACCATTACTTATTCTCACTAGCTGCATCATGGGTGCTTCTCTGATCTTGATTCAAATCCTGTCGAATAGAAATTCGAAACATAGAATTTGCTATTTATATTGTAATTTAAAATGTTAATGATCAGATTCTTCTACCCTTTTTTTTTCCAGAATTTATTGATTGAATAGAAGGATTTTTAACTCATCTTTTTTGGCCCCACTGCTGAAATTAGTATATGATGTTGCCTTGAACCTTGAACTTATCATTGAGAGGGGGGTGCAAAGAAAAGCTCAGTTGTGAAACATGATGGATGAAAGGAAATTGAATATCAATGCCCCTCTTATGTCTGTGAGGCGCTCTTCTGGTCCATCACCATCCTTAGCTGAAGCAAAGAGAAAGATATTAGAGAAGCAACAAGCTCTTCCATACTATAAGTCAGATACAACCTTAGATCAGATAACAGAACCTGTTGCAGTGCCTTTCAATTGGGAGCATATCCCTGGAAGACCCAAGGGTAATGGTGGATCTGAACCTCAACCTCTCGAGGAGGCTTCAATTACTCCAAACCCATGTCTTCCCCCTGGAATGTCCACAAATGTTGCTAAACAGCCATTGGAAAAGGAATGTAATGTTGCAAATAAATTCAGGTCCTCAAGTAAATCAAACTCTTTGAGTGACAGTGTAAGTAAAATAGATTGTGACAAAGAAGGAAAAGATGAGAAAATAAAAAATGTGGAAGAGGATGATGATGATGATGATGATGATGTTTATTCTGATGCCCTTGAAACCCTGTCACCTACAGAATCATTCTCTATGAACTGTAGTGTAAGTGGTGTAAGCGGCTTAGATAATTTGGATGCAAGCAAGTCTGGAATCTCTTCTACTGACAAACAAACTCAAGACTTCATGATGAGCCGCTTTTTACCTGCTGCAAAGGCTATGACTTTAAAGCCTCCTCAATATGCTTCAAGAAAGCAACCCCTTCTGACAGAACAACCTAGGGATGTTATCAAACTGGTTCCTCAGCAAAAGAAGTCCTTTGTTAATAGATATATCACTGACATTATACCATATAGTGGCGAATGTCAAGAAGAAGAAGAAGAAAGTGGTGATGAAACTGATGATTATGCAAATATTTCAGCTAAAGGTTGTGGATTGTTTCCCCGCTTATGGGATAGGAATTCATTGTGCTTATTAAATCCAATGCCTGAGTCAAAAATGGGGAACCAGTTTCCCATGTGTTCTGCCTATGAGGTTGGAAAGCCTAACAAAAATTCTAATATTCGCTCGTATAAACCAGCTCCAGCTATAAAGAAGGTAAGAACTATATCTATCACTCTTATTTCTCTGCACCAAATTCTTGCATTGCACCATTTAGTAGCCAATAGTACTCTCACCAATCCTCCTTTTGCAAATTAGTATTTTCACTAATTATGACTTCAACTCATTTACCCACAATCATGAATTTTTCCTGAAGGCTTGGGATGCTATTCATAAGAGCAAATCAAGTTCTGGAGCTGCATCACCAGACATGCATTTAAGAAAAAAATGGACTAGTGAATCAAACAGGTTTACTTACTCGGGTGAGTTGAAGCAGCTTAGTAGGCTCTCTTCCTTTCGTCGTTCAAGTGGTACTGTTGCTGCTGCTGCTGCTGGTATATCTTCTTTTCAAAGGAAACCTCAATCTCCTTTTCCTGGAGCAAGGTTGCTTGGTGATTCTAAACATGCTGAGAGTAATCAATCTGGCAAATTGAAATTCCTGAGCCGAGAACATGAAAGTATTAAGGAGGTGCTATCACAAGGAGCCAAAAAAAGTTCAAATTCAGGGAGCCTTACAATGGAAAAGACATTGCACATAGATACTGCAAGCACAGTAAAACTATCATGCTCAAATTCAAGTTCTATAGATTCAAGTTCTATAGGTCACACACAAAGGATAGACACTGTGGTAGGGAAAGAAAGAAATTCCACTGTAGATTCTTTTCAAGATATGAAATACCTACAAGCTTCGGAGGAAAATTTGGATTCTGAGGTATTAAGTTCTATGGATGCCAATTCTTCAACTTTGTCTAGCATGTTATATCTAATGGCCAAAGAAGACAAAGCTGAAAGATTGACAACTGATCAAGAAATTAATCAAGAATCCATGTCCTTGCAACTTGTGCAAAGTTCATTTGATGAAGATGCAATGATCAACAACCAGCAAATTGTAGTAGTTGAAGATTCAGGAAAAGTTGGAGCTGAATATGCTCTACATCCACTTCCCCCACCATTGCCAAAGTCACCTTCTGAGTCCTGGCTTTGTCGTGCCCTGCCTTTAGTTTCTTTGAAGAATCCGTTCCTGCATTCAAATCAAGGTACTCAATCCCATTCTAAAAGGCAGAGTTTTAATAGATCATCCAGCTATACTAAGTGGGAAACAATAGTGAAAACTTCAAATTTGCATCATGATCATGTATGCTGTTCTAAGGTAACCTCATTAAACCCTTTAGCCATTTTTTTGTCTTCCTCAATGGTGAGGTCACATAGATAAAAGATGAAAACTAACACTTAACTTTCTCTACAGGAACTAACTATATATAAGCCTCAGCATTCCAAATCTTAGAGGTGGAACTCAGTGGCTTGTGTTTAAAATCTTTATGTTAGCATGCTTATGGAATTTAGTCCTCCTCCTATTGGATTTTGGCATGACAACATAGGTAACAACATTTGGCATGGTTAATTAGATTTTTACTTTCAATACACTTGTATTTCTTTTCTGCTTTCACTTTCTATTGGATTTTGTTTCCATTTGTTGACTTCTTAAACTTGAGCCCTGACACCTTTTCATTTTCTTGATATCAGTATTGTACAGAGAGGAATCAATATCATTTTTGGTGATCAATAAAAACAAACACAACTTCTTTTGGACTTATGGTATGGATTCAAGATTTCATAAGCTGGCCCCAGAGAAATGCATAAGTACTACTATTCTGTGCTTTTTCACTTTGTTATTTTAATCTACTCCATTTCTTACCGCTTGCTCTGAGGAACGAACCTTTAGGTTCCTCCTCTGCTGCTAAATCTTAAAAGTATCAGCACGATTTTTATTTTTATTTTTTTTATTTTTTTTATTTTTATGTAAACTGACATTAGCGGTTGCTGTTATTCATGCCTGATTGTTTCTTGTTTTATCTTTAAAAATACATGCAAATTTTATTTTATTTTATTTTACATTTTAGTCTGTCTTTTCTTTCATTTAATAAACTTATGTCCAAGTATGAAAATCAGATTAATTCTTACTTATATGAGCTTCAAATTCTCATGCATTTCGGGTGTTTCTTGTGTGATGATGCTGTTAGTAAACTTAACACGTCAACAGGGCAAAGTACTTCTTCTGATCAATTGCAGTCTTGACTTATAAGCTCTCGATTATTCTTTTGGAATGCCATGAAATCTGAAGCATGCAACCTACTTCAAATTCTCACTGCCAAATATTGCAAATTACTTCACAAGCATACCCCTGCAATATATTATAAAAAAAGGTCGATTTTTTTTAAACAAAAAAAATATTTAAAGGTTTCATGTAATATAAACTTTTAAATAAGCTTTTAAAGACATGTCAAACTTTTATGATTTAATAAAAAAGGTCAAGATAAGTTTTAAAAAACCAACAAGAAATCATGCACGGATTAGGTTGGGGTTGATATTTTACAAAATCTAACTTATTTTTACTCCTAAAAAATAAAAATAAACAGAGGAAATATATGGTCATCAATAACTTAATCAAGCAAAAAAAAAAATTACAAATATATTTACTAGCATAAATTCCTCAATTAGTTCTCTCTATTAGAGATGTAAATGAGTCAAATGATTTATTAATAACCTATGACTCGATTTTTTTTTGGAAATACAATGAAAACTAAAGCAACATCAAAAAAAGCCCTATACTGGGCACAATCTTGGGAGACTAACTCCCCTCAAGTCATTACGAAGCAATTCCAAACAAGCCGCTGGAGGGACATCCAGCACAATCAGTTGTCCATCCTGATGAGGTGCATGAGTAGCAAGCCAATCAGCAACAAAATTGTCTTCTCTATAAGTATGACTAAGCTGAATAATCCAGTCTCTTTGAAGCATGCTACGAGCTCGGATGATTAAAGCAGAAAGAGGATGACTTACGTCACACCCTTTTCTTATAAATTCCAAAGCCACCTTGGAGTCACCCTCCACAAAGACTCTCCTAAATCTCTTATGTCAAGCCAGATCCATACATGTCAAGAACCCCCAAATTTTCGCTGAAGTAGAAGTACCACTCCCAAGGAATTTTGTAAAACCAGTTAACCAGTTTCCAGCAGCATCCCTTATGACTCCACCACATGCAGTCCTTTGCCCACTGTCTATACTGGAACCATCCACATTAAGTTTAACATAACCCTCAGAGGGAGAATTCCAGTGAATAAGACGTTCCTCTCTTCTAAGCTCCTGATGACCAATCTTAATAAGGGTTTCATTAGCCAATTGAATATTACCACAAGTATAGGTAATGCGCCTAATGAGACCATACTTCGAGGTGATAGTTTGATCAAAGATCGCCTTATTTCTTTTCCCCCACAAACACCAAGCTATCACCCCAAAATACAAAGGCCAAGTTCGATCAGTTTGAAACGGACCTTTTAATCCTAGATTTGTCTGAATCCATAGGTGAAGATCCATGGAGAAAAAGTCACTACGGTTATCAGAAGGAACCCAATGCTCCCATAATTCCCTGGCACCAGGACAATCTCTAATGGCATGTAAACTATCCTCAAGATTATAATGACATCTCAGACACCCTGCATCTGTAGCCATGTGACGATGCACTCTATGAACATTAGTTAAAAGAGAACCTCTGTAGAGAAGCCATAAGAATTGTCTAATACGTTCAGGACCAGGCCAAGCCCAAATTACCTTCTAAATCCTATCCTGATGATAATGCGAGGTACCCATGAGATAGTTATAAGCTAATTTCACTGAAAAAACCCCATCTTGGCTACCTGCCCAAATAACACGGTCCGGAGAAGGATCCACTGTAGGAGGGAGCACACTACGAATCTTGTCTAATACTGAAGTAGGAAGAAGGTGCTGAAATAAAGGCCAGTCCCAATTACCATAACAAGTTACAAATTGAGACGTAGACCAATGAGTCATAATAGGAGGAATAGGTTGAACGGCCAGAGAAACAAGTTGAGGACATCCTGGCACCCACGAATCCATCCAAAAAGACGTATGAACCCCATCCCCTAAAATGATACGAGAATTCTCTAGAGTTTGAGGCCAATACTTAACAATAGCCTTCCATAAACCAGAATCATTTGCGGAAACCGAGATACTTGGAATGAGCCTTTCCTCTACCTTATACTTGCTACGAAGGACCCGAACCCATAACGAATTACGATCAGTCATGATTCGGTGACCTAGCTTCATGATAAAAGCCATATTATTCTCTTTAATTTTACGAAAACTAAGCCCCCCTACATTCTTCGGCAAACAGACCGTCTCCCAAGAAACCAGGTGAGCTTTCCTTCGTTCAGAAGTTGATCCCCAAATGAAATTCCTAGTTACACTCTCAATACGATCACACGTACCACTAGGATTAATACAAGTTTGCATAGGATATTGAGGAATTGCAGTAAGAACTGACCTAGCCAAAGTTGATCTTCCTGCCAATGAAAGAGTACGTTGATTCCAGGCATTTAAACGAGCTTGCATCCGATTTAAGATATAGCCAAACGTACTCTTTGTAACATGGCTATGACGAAGAGGAATACCCAAGTATTTACCCAAGTCATTTGTAGGAGAGTAGCCCATCAACTGGCTTAGATTCTGCACTCGGGTATGATTAACGTTTCTGGAGAAGAAGACTTTTGTTTTTTCCTTGCTAACCTTCTCACCAGAGCACCTGCAAAAACAATCAAGAATCTTATTAATAATAACAGCTTGCCCTTCTGTGGCTTCTGTAAAGAGCAGAAGATCATCTGCAAAAAATAGATGGGAAAGCAGTGGTCCCCTTCTATTCAATCTGATAGGCTTCCAAACGTCCTCTTGAACTGCTACATTAATCAAATGAGCAAGTCTTTCCATGCAAAGGATGAAAAGATAAGGAGACAAAGGATCTCCTTGACGAAGACCTTGATTAGGAGAAAATTCTGTCGTAGTTGATCCATTCCATAACAAATTCATTGTACATGACGAGACACAACACATGATCAGAGAAATAATATTCTCAGGCAAATCAACATCCACAAGCGTGTCTTTCAGAAACTCCCAAGAAATCTTGTCATAAGCCTTTTCTAAATCAACTTTGACAGTCATCCAACCCTTATCTCCTCTCTTTTTATTCATGGAATGGATGATTTCCTGAGCCACAATGATATCATCCGCTCCTTGTCTACCCTTAATAAAACCACATTGATTAGGCATAACCAAGTGAGCCATATGAAATTTCAGCCTATTAGCCACAATCTTAGTTACAGTCTTGTAAATAACATTACAAAGGCTAATAGGTCTGAAATCTTTAAGTAATTCAGGCACATCAATCTTAGGAATCAGACAAATCAAAGTTTGGTTAACCTCTTTGATATTATCCGGATGAAGGAACACACCTTTCACAAAAGAGATAACTGACTCACCCACCTTATCCCACTGAGATTGAAAGAAAAGAGCATTAAGCCCATCCTTCCCAGGCGACTTGTATGGACCAAAAGAGAAGACTACATCTCTGATCTCCTTACTGTTTGGCATAATACTCATCGCGTCTAAAGCATGCGCTTCAATAACAAAAAAGCCACGAACTGGAAAAGCCGGTTTAGGTAATGGATCTTTTGTGTACAGATTTTCAAAGAAAGAAACATCCATTTCCATTAAAACCTGTTGATCACCAATCCAAACTCCCTCAGAGTTTTTCAACGTATCTATGCGATTCCTCCTACGTCTGGCAACCGTCACAGAATGAAAGAAACGCGAGTTCCTATCTCCAAGAGCAAACCAATTCAATTTCGATCTTTGAAACCAAGTAATTTCCTCTTGAAGATAAATCTTGTCTAGTTCCCTCCATAGATCCTTTTGCAACATCTCAAGGCTATGACTGTACTGATAACTAAGACATCTATCAATACCTCTAATCCTTGCATGCAAATCATTCTTTCTTTTCAGAGCAATCCTATAAAAATTTCTATGCCATTCCGAAGCATTAATCCGAAATGTCTCCATAGCATGCATCCAGTTTACATTGTTTGACCAACATCCATTAACCACCTCATGAAAAGTGCTCTCTGTTAACCAGGACGCTAGAAAACGGAAAGGACGCTCCCCTCTCGGATAAATAGCAGGTTGATCTTCCCATAATAACACTGGTCGATGATCTGAGCCAAAGAAAGGCAAGTTGAAAGCCACACGGTTAGGGAAAACCAAGTTCCAATTATCATTAGCGCAAACCCTATCAAGACGTTCCTGAAGATTTCTTCTTTGCCAAGTGAAAATAGGACCTTGATTGCCAATGTCAGACAAGCTACA